CAACCCTCGGTGTTGCCCCCGCGCCTCGCTCAGCCAGTGAATGGGAACCGGTCTGTATGTGGGATCCGAACCCTCGGCGGGAGCACCTCCGCACTTCCCAAGCGGCACACTAGCGCAGTGCGCCACCGGGCCGGCCCTTTGGTTTTGTATTTTAATGAAAGTACTACAGCTAATGTTTCCATGGTGAAATTGGAACAATCAGTGATTGTGAGAACAAATCACTGCACGGTTTCTAAAAAGCGCTTTATGTAATGTATACAAATCAATTTGAAATTATCATCCTTTTGACACAGGAATCCCAATTCTGTTGAGGTCTTTTAAAGAAATAATCAAAATATGCTTAATGTATGCACAGATATTTGATATTGCATTATTTGTATTAGCAAAAAATTGAAAAAAACCTTAATGCCAAATAATAACTTTGTTATATTTGTAGCAAATATTTATGTCTGTTTATACATAATTTTACTTATCACTAGATATGTGAACCATTTTCTCTTTCTTAAACTTCATCCATTGATTCTACACTTTCAATGTCTTTCCCTGTTGTGAAATTAATTGAAAATTCATCTATGCTTTTTTTTCTTCTTCTCCTTCATTTTTAACGGGGAAGGATTTACAGGTAGTAGATAACTTTTTTATTTACTACCTTAATTTATCCATACTTTGCTTTTTTCCTATGCAATTGCAATCTAATTTTATTCCCCCCTCATTTACTTAGCTTATTTTCCATTTTTGGTTGAATAATGATAATCATTTTGTTGTTATTTATTTTTGCAATGTGGAATCTTATATTTGTATCATAAATATTCTGTTCCATGTGTCTGTATTTCAAGTCTTATGCCAATGCCATACAGTTTAAATCCGATGGCTTTGTTATTTTATTATACTTATTTATTTCCACTTTCATTTAAATCATTTACTTCCTCTCACCACTATTTATTTTTCTAAAAATAAATTAGAATAACTTTTCATCAAGTTCCAAAATAATCCGAATAATCATTTGATTACAATTACAGTAAACACAGACAAATTTGCAGAGAGCTACATAGTTATAATATTTACTCCTCTTGCTCAGGACCATTCATTTCCTTAATATTCTGAAGCACAGTATTTATAAATGCAAATAAAGTTCATGCTTCCAGTAGCAGTACTTTTATTTTACATAGTCCAATTAGTAATCATATATAATGCAATTTCTATGCAACATGGAGATCAACATTTTGTGTCTCAATTTTAAGTCTTCTAACTTGGAAAATAGAAATTAAATGTACTTTCTTAATTATAATTTATATTATTCTTATTGTCTTCAAGTTGTTTTCAAATTAAATCAGTTTTCTGCTGGATTCTTTATTGATTTCTCTAATTTTTTTGAGTGACTTGTTTTTCAAGATACAAAATGCATACCCTGCCTGCAGTAGGTTTGACAGTTCAAGATGTGCTCCCTGCTGCTGTGTATAATAAAATCTCCAAGGGGGTTAGTTTATTTTTTACAAATTCCTTGTTTGCTCTGATATTCTTATATGCTATAATATTTGTCCCTTGGGGGCTTTACCGCTAATTTGGGGAACACAAGCATTAAAAGTACAACAGAAATGGGAGCTTGGCTTCATAAACTACTATTGCCCTCTTTAGAGACATTGGGGTACCATTGGCCATATTGTAAAAATTGCCTCTGGGGATATTAATAAAAATAAATTTTTAACTATAAAAATAATTCTTAACCTTAAAACTAAATATTCCTATGTCGACATTGAATATTTCCTTAGCAAATAATTGGGAACTGAAAATATTATCATATTCTTGACCAGTGTTTACCTAAATGTGTTATAAAAAAAAAAAAGAACAGACAAACAAAAACCAACTAAGATCTATGCTCAAATAAATTTGAGAAACACTGGGCTAAACAGAGGTTTCTTTATGTATCTGGCCAAGAAGTATACTTTTGAAAATGCTACTTTCTGATGAACTGATTCAACAGGAAAGTTCTAAACTTGTACCCTCTCTCTTGTCATATGATGTGACAATGCATTCCATTACATTCAATTAAATGCTAGGCATTAAAGGGAGACACAGTGACAGCTGATAAGACTTGTAAGTATAAGCGGATAAGTATATGTTCCTGAAATATAAATGCTGCTACTTCATTCTATTGCAGTAGCTATACTATTCACCATCCCAGTCTCAACCTGATTTTACCAAATTTTGGCCTTTATGTGACAAAAGAACACAGATAAAAAATATTTCTATGACCATTCTTCATATTAACTTCTTTCAGAAATTTTAAGTTACTTTGCACTTAATGAAGTTGTTTAATAATATTGGATCTATGTGGGGCCGGCCCGGTGGCGCACTGCTACAGTGCGCCGCTTGGGAGCGTGGTGGCACTCCCGCCGAGGGTTCGGATCCCACATACAGACCGGTTCCCGCTCACTGGCTGAGCAAGGTGCGGGCGCGACACCGAGGGTTGCGATCCCGTTGCCAGTCCCAGTCTGGTATGGGTGCGACACTGAGGGTTGCGATCCATTGCTGGACACGAAAAAAGACAAAAAAAAAAGGAAAAAAAAAAGATTGGATCTATGTGTAGTTAGATATTGACCTAGTCTAGAACTCTAGCAATTGGCATTATGTTTTTCCCATTGAAAAAAGCATTTGCATCCACTTTATTGCTGCAAGGAAATATATTTTTCTAGAAATTTTCTTCCTTAGAATGAGTTTCATGTTATGCTCTAGATAGGTAAATCATTTTGTTTTTAGCAAGTTCACTGATCCTACTGTTATCTTTCAAAACTGTGACAAGGACTAGACAGGAAGAAAAGAAAGGATCTTGCTGTCGGTGAAGAATCGTAACCTACTAGATCTTCTCTTTAAAATTTAATGTTGTCTGCATATTTAGTCAGGTTGAGTAACAAGAATAAGACAAGA